ATGTCTAGTACTACTTCATATCAGTGGTGTTTAAGCGTTCCAAATGCACATTTCACCTTTCATTTTGCTCAGAAGTGACAGCATAGTGTGAAGGCAACTGACAGAATCTGGTTTGTCTAGAATATCTTTTTCCTTGGAAAGCCATAAATTGAGAAGGAGTGACTGTAAAAAAAAGAGAATATGGAAATAAAGCAACAGAATAGAACTCTAATATTGCAATATACCTAATGCAAACACTTTCTCAAACAAATTTTGTGTCATGAAGCAGAAATGTTATATCCATGAACCCTTACCATATTAACATAGGAAGTTAAATATGTATTGCATGAGGCACCCTATGACAGACTTTGAAATGAAACAATACAACCTGTATTTAGGGAGATATCTTGGGCAACACCCTCTTCTGAAGGCGCAGCAGCTAATACCACTATGTTAGCAATCTCAACTTGGTAAATATTAGTAGTTATTAATATTACAGCTGAAAATCTTAACACAGGCAAGCAATACTGAAATACATATTTCCATCATTACATAGTGGATGGAAGAGAAGTAGCAAAAGACTAAAATTACAGATGAAATGCGGATGAAAGATAAAGGTGATTGTCTGAACACTACCAGCGATTCTGAAATATTTACTTTTCTTTTTAAACTTCCTTGCAAAAAGGAATGATAACAAATGTATCAGTACATGAAATTAACTACTCCCTTAATTTTTGCTTCTTTGTAGAATAAATCTTCAGCAAAATTTTGTAACACTTGTAGTCCTATATGCTTACTCTAGACATTCCCACTGGAATACCCACATTTTCTACTAGAAGATTTTTTTTTTTCTTTGACATCATTTAAGTGGGAAGTATAAATATGAGGATCTAAAGAACTGAATGTGAGGGTATTTGAACACAGCCTTAATACAGCATTAACCCAAAGGTCAACATTCTGAATTTTTCCTTTCAATGTTTTGTTTTCAAAATACTAAATCAAAGTTTTAAAGTATGCAATAAATATCTTACCAACAAGATTTGAGGGCTAAAACCTGCTGCTTCCAATGCATGACACATTTCCTCTGTGGAACTCTCCCCACACAAACACCTCCAGAAGAAAAAACTGCCTGAAGCAAAAATTAGTTGACATTATAAACGACATCTAAAGCCACAGCCTCTCCACTCACACTTGCATGAAAGATCATCTATCAATCAGGCCCCACTGAGCGCAATGCAAAGCACTAAGCTATATCCAGGATACCCTGATGGTCTACCCTTAGTGGAGAAGAAGGTTCATTACAAAGGATGTAAGTGTTCCTACCGCTACAGGAGTCATTTGGAAAATGGATTTATAACAAAATAAAACAAAAAAAGTCATTGTACTGCTTGGATGTCCTGCTTTCAGCTGGGATAGAGTTAATTTTCTTCCTAGTAGCTGGCACAGTGCCGTGCTTTGGATTTAGGAGGAGAATAATGTTGATAACACACTGATGTTTTAGTTGTTGCTAAGCAGTGTTTACACTGAGTCAAGCGCTTTTCAGCTTCTCACACCACCCCACCAGCAAGCAGGCTGGGGGCACAAGCAGCTGGGAGGAGACACAGCCAGGACGGCTGACCCAAACTGGCCAAAGCGATATCCCCTACCATATGACGTCACGTTCAGTATATAAACTAGGGGGAAAGCTGGCCGGGGGCTGCTGCTCGGGAGCTGGCTGGGCATCGGTCGGCAGGTGCTGAGCAACTGCACTGCATCACTTGTCTTGTATGTTCTAATTCTTTTATCATTATTATTATTACTTACCCTTCCTTTTCTGTCCTATTAAACTGTCTTTATCTCAACCCATGAATTGTACTTTTTCCCCCCAATTATCTCCCCCATCCCACTGGTGAAGGAGTGAGCAGCTGCATGGTGTTTAGGTACCTGCCACGTTAAACCATGACACTGGATTACACATTTCATTCAATCCAAAGAACAGCTTGAAGTGTCTGACACATTTATCCATGGAGTAACCCATAACTGTGTGGCAGCATGTTGTATCTTACCTGGCAAGCTAGTGGTACTTCAAACCAACTAAAAAAACCCAAACAATTACATAATTTATACCTTACTAGCACTACAAGAAGTGTGAGTGTCCCTTTGAGGCAAATTAGATAAAACAAGATTTTCAAGAAACGATCTAAACTGCTCAGCGTGACATTCATGTTTCAATTATATTTGTTTACAGCTGAACACCCTAATAAGTTACTAGCGATCCCTGTCCAGGGGCGTGGGGAGAAAAGTACTTCTACCTTAGTTCTTAAAAGCAAGTATAGTGTTATGATAGAGAGAATGCAAATTCTAAGATTACTTAGAAACAGCCTTTGATCTTCATATAGACAAAAGCCAAGCTCTTCTGCCTAACTTTTCAATCCAAATTTCTCTCAAAGTCTGATGATTAAAGCCAAAAGAAGAAGAGGGCTACAAAGTGAGCACCATACAACACCTGTGCACAGAATTCTGTGGTTTGCACCAAAACTTCCCCAGAAAAGAAATCATCTGGAAAGACAGTGCCTTTGAGACAGATTTAACTCAAGCTGCTTCCACTAGTTATTTCCCCAGAGTCCCTTGAGGACAGCCCGGAGCAGATTTGCAAACTAAAGCAGACTGCAGACAGTAACCCCATCCCACACCCCAACAGACACCCCAGACACTCTCCCCAACCTTATTTCAGATCAACATTGTCCAAAATCTCCCCAGCTCCACAACGAGGGGTCCTTATTCCCTCACCAGTGGTCCTGTGCTGCCTCTGGTCAGCTCCCCCACCTCTGAGGCTAAAATCAGTCCTGTCATTAATGAACTCTTGAGGTGCTGTGGCCAGGAAAGAAGCATCAGGATACAGCTGCTCTGTAAAGTACCTAGTTACCACTGTCCAACTTCGTGGCATTAATAAACAAATGAATGGCGATAACACGGCTTTAGGGTAATTACAGCCACAGATGTAATTAACTTGTATTAATATCCATGTAGGTAGAACGAGTTGTCCCCATGGCTAAAGGTAAGAGTCCGGAACTAGCACTGTCACATACTACTTCAAGGCAAGCCAGCTTGTTAAGGTCCCCAAACTAAGGCTAAAATACTTACACCATCTTAGATTATAATCAGTCTTTAAGTAACTTGACAAAGTTCAGTAGCTCTTACCTAAAGCCACATATTCTTCATCTTCCATATTTTTCACATTAATCACATCCTTTTCATATTCCAAATATTCTAAAAACTTTTTCACAGACAATATATTATCCTTCTCATCCGCAACCTGAGCAGTAGTTTGGGTGTTTTCTTTCTTGTAGTTGTCCAGTAAAGTTTCGAGCCTATGAAAATCTTTTTCTTCTAGCCGAAGCAGTTTAGCCAAGTCCTCAAAAGCAAAAGCCAAAAAAATCCCACATCACAAGACTAATGCAAACAGGTGTTTTTCAAAACACAGTAAAAACTAAAACAAAATATTGTTTGGAACATTAAAAGTGTCTTTCAAAAGGGCCAAAATTATTAAATAATCTCAAATGAAGACCTTGTCTAGCTCCATTTTTAGGGACTTTAACAGATACTTTTCCCATATTTAGATCCTGCTCATAGTATAACAATCACCCATCAAGCAAACAAGCCTATAAAACACCACTCCATATGGCTTTTATAAATGTATAGGCAGTTTTATAAATTATACCAAAAGCAAGCCAAATTATGATGCTACACAAGGAAATATGAGAAATTGTAATGATGAATTACTATGCAGTTGTACAGGGGAAAAAACGCATTATAGAACAATTACTTCATTAAAAGTTGTAGGCCACAAAAACGGGCTACTTATTTTATTTGAGGACTTGAAAACATATTTTTATGCTTAAATCATCACTCGATTCTATAAGACAACTGAATTTTGAATTTACTCACGTTATCTGAGGGTGGGGTGTCTTTCTCTATGCTTTGGGAATTTAGTCTGCTAACTAGCTCATACAGATGTAACAGCTTTAACTTGTTCGCACAGAACTGCAGTAGTCCTTCATCCACACACTCAAGCTCTGAGGAGAAATAAAACCCGTTTAAACTGACATAGTTTGGAACAGTGAAATGTACTTCGCAGCTGTATCAAACTCCTCCTTTATTAGAACCGGAGGACATGCGTGTCTTAGTCTAATTTTTTGATGCACTGCTGCTTGCAATGATTATAGTTAATTCACAGCAGTATAACACAAGAATTATTTTTACAAGGTATTAGGGAGAAGTATCAGGCTCATTTTTAAACTGAAGGAAGCTGACAGTGTGGAACAGAAGAAAGCCAAATCTGTTGTCTTTTCCTGGTTTAAGTCCAAACCAGGGACTGCCAAAAATTGAAATATACTAAATCCCAAATACATTTTCTTTTATCAAGAATACCAAACTATAATCTTTTATTCATTCTGACAATATTTTAAGCACATTCCTTACATCCAAAGGGAGCTTGATATTTACCGACATGAAGTCAATTTTATGTCTGCCAGACACTGTCTTTTGTATTTCTACAATCTTAGTCTCAGAAATTTCATGGATCTATTGACATTCAAATTTCAGCAACAATTAAAGCAATCAGAATACAGGAAACTAACACCAACACAATGTCGAAAAAAATCTCTAACTTATTTGTTTTAAAGGAAAGCATTCGAAAGAGATCCTAAGAGGACCTTTCTATACAAAAGATTTATCTGAATATATCTTCACCTGAAACACCTTCTAAACATGATTTTTCCCCCCTAAGAGCCCTTAAACACTTTTGATACATTGCTATTAAAAATCCTACAAACAAAAGAGAAATGCACAGAGCTAACCACACAGTCACTTGACCTTTTCTTCACAACCACAGCATTCACAGAGTCCAGCATCTGCTTCACATTATCTTTTACCTACTAAGCACAAGTGCAAGAATATGCCACTACTCTTCTGAAATCAGAAGTCTGGATCATCAGCCAAGTTTGTTCTTTATTTGAATTGTGAGGAAATAACGTTATGTATGACAATAAGAGATTGATGATGACAAACACACACTCAAACAGACCTCAGTAAACAAACAGTTCCATCAGTGTAAAGGGGCACGTTTCCATTTTTCTTTGGTTTGTTTTTTTTTTTAGGAGTTCTAATAGAAATTAATAATGCTAGTGATTCAGAATGCCAGAACAAAATTAAGTAGAACTGCATGTGTGAAACTCTCAATCTCCTCTATCTACTTCAAGAAAACGGTAAAAAACCCCACCAAAAAACCCCAACAAACACTGATAACAAATGAAAGAAAGATTTCCTCTCAAAAACGTGTTGTCACATTCTCACTGACACAGGACAAGGGACACAGCCTTTCTAACTGACAAATGGTTTATTCAGGACTTCCACACAACAATGCTAGGGATTTCTTGACTTCCATTGCTAAAGCCTCATCTTCTAACAAGCTGAAATGAATCCAGTGATAATGGGGAAAAAAAAAAATAAAGCAGACTTCTATTGCTGAGAAGTCCCAACACATGCAAAGGAAGTGGCAGGCATGTGCTTCTCCGCTCTATTCCTCAATACCCAGCTAGGTCTCCAAAACAGGGTCACCTCAAGCACAAAGAAGGTTCTCCCAATTTAGAAAGATCCAAGTGTATCATTTCAAAGAAACAATTTTGCAGACTTTCAGCAACAAAATTTTGAACGGACAATGACATTTCCTGACACTGTCTCTGAAACCTCTAACAAAATATATGAAATAACTTCAGCAAAGTTTACCAAGAAAAGATACTAGGCTTCTGGCCAGAGCTCAGATTCTCACCAATAAGGATTTTGTGCCCTCAGTACATTAAAATTCACATTACTCCTCTCTGAGTTAATGGGCAATAAATCACATTTTTTCCTCCCCAAGTCGAGTCTGTTTTGCCCATGATGGTAAACGCCGAGTGATCTCCCTGTCCTTAGGATCTAAAGTACCGTAGCCTTACTGCCTTCCTTGGAGAGAAAGAACAAACTTAAACATCTACAGGCAAAAGTCTGTGAAAGTTTCCTTCTGAAGGAAGCTTTTATTGGGTGCAAGTACTAGTCCAGTTGTTTGGTTTTGTTTTGGTTTGTTTTTTTTTCTAGTATAATCACAAGTTACTAGGCACATAGCAAGCACAGCAAAGCATACTTACTAGCAAGATATTTGCAGTCTGCATAAAAAAAAAAATAAATATGTAGAAGCAACATCCTGAGATCTCTAGCAGCAAAACTATGCAGACCAAGTCTGGTCTCCCTGTGGAATAGCACAGTTCCACAATAGTCTTACAGCACTGCAGACAAAATGCAAATGCCTCTCCATATTTGCAAAATAAATATCCACCTACCCTGTTTTTTTAAATTATCCATTAATGTCTGAGTGATGTTTGTGAGAGATGAAAGAGGCACACGTTCACTTGTCAATATACTTTCCAGAGCCTGTTAAGCAGACATTCAACAGAATTAAACATTTACTCAATTTTACTGTAAAAATACACAGCACAACTTTGACAATGATTTTTCATCTGTATTTTGTTTCACATATACTTGTGACATAATTTGATCCTACAGAAAGGTCTGTTCTCTTACTATTTTGACTTTTATCATGCAAGATGCCTTGGGGAAGTCGCAAGTCAAAATTAATTCCATTCAAAAACAAAAACAACTCCAAGCACCAAAACAATTATTTGCTTCAAGTAGCTCTAGGAAAAAGTAACATATTTTGAAAGACTTCAAAAGATTTGGCACTCTAAAAAAAAAAAATACTGCGTTACCAGCTTTAATGTTAAAGTATACTGGCTTCTAAATATTCACCTGTTTCTTGGTAGCAGGGTATTTGATATCAAGTATTAATTCCTTTGCTTCAGCTTCAATCAAATCTGCAAAGACAAGCACAACTTCAATTCGTATTTCTCAAATGAATTCTGAAAAGCAAGTTAAACCCCACCCCCACCCGCCAGTTACGATGCACACGGGTTCATGCTGTACGGATGAAGACACTATTACGAAAGTTGCCAAAATAAGCTTAGGGAAAATGAAAGAAAACAACAGCTCAGTGGCATCTCAAATCTGTCTTTTGAAGCAACATATATTACTTGCAGGAAGAAGGATACCTACAGTCAAATGCTGAACTCCATTATGTAGCAAAACAGATTGCAAACAGACCATGTTTTGGGCAAGCACTCAGAGTTCAGTTAAGATTTACATGGCAGACAAAGCTTACACTGGATCCTTGTATGCGAGAAATTTAATCTGGTAGCTTATAAAAAAAATGCCAGCTGCTTAAAGATCATCATTCATAGCACATACAGCTGTCAGAACGCACTGCAATCATACCTGTGTTTGTACACTTACAGGACAGATAACACAAGAACCGTTTGATAACACATCATCTTAAGAAATTATACAAGAGAACCTACCCGGATCTGAGGTTTTAGCTTTGAGTAAAGCATTTAACTTCTTCACTAGATGCAAATCCTTTGCTCGCTCACTCTTTTTATCACTGAAGGGAAATAATTTCAATTGTATGAGTGAAGAGAACTTAAGTGAACGATTCAGAAAAAAAAAAAAACAAAACAAAACTTTTGAAAGGTAATGTACATAAACCAATGAGACTATTACCAGAGTACTATTCAGCTTGAGAAGGAACATCAGAATTGCGCTCTCTAAATGAAACACTGTTTCCAAAACCAATAATGAAATTCATCGGGTTACACAGAGCACAAAAAGTCCTTACCTCAGTGCTAAATGGAAAGGTACATGGACAGTTTTTACACTTCCAGAGACAGGATCAACAAGGCATATCTGGTAAGTCTGGGGCTGCCATCCCTGACTGGTCACATTGTTTAGACCCATTATTTTATAACCAGGATACAACAACCTGAAACCAACAAAAACCACGGCCTTTACGGTGAAGAACAAAATTAGCAACCTTCCCTTTAGACAGGCTGAATAAAAAGACAACAAATTTTACTAAGGTTTAACAACTGCTAAATATGTTTATCAGGAAAGACTATAGAGCAATGAAACATGACAAGGACCCCTTCTATAAAACAACAAGCTGCATTCACTGGAAACACTGTGGGCAACGCAAAAAGCGCCTGCCAGCACTCTCCACTTTTACCACTGGCATATCCACCTATCACTTGATTGCAGCAGCACAGCCAACGTGCCTGTCAGCTAACTGTTTCTCACCTACAGTATTTCCCCACGTTGAAGGCTCCAACCCGAGGCCCTTGCTGCGTGCTCCACACTTCCAGAATGCCTCTCCTCGGAGCATAGATCACAAGGAACTGCGCTACCCTGCTTGGACCCTGAGCAATTCCAAAAGGAGAAAAATCCATCTTCTCAGTTTCTCTCTCATGAAGGTCCTCCACAGTCTGTATCCAACCAACTTCTGCATCGCGGTATCCTTTGTAAAAGACAACAGAACTTCATTAGGGTACAGAAATTAACACATTAGTACACATCATGACCCACTTAAGTACTACTCCAGCAGCAAGCTGTCTGAACTTTGTTTCGAACTGTGCAACTCTGGGCAGTAGCCAGACTCCTGTCATGTCCATGGACTCTGAGCAGGGCCCACCAGAGGACTCCTCAGAGCCAAATGCAGCCTCCTGCAGAGCTTTGGGGAGGAACAAGTTCTGCTGGGAGAAGCCACAAAAACCACAAAACTCATCGGGTCTGTACTCTGGACATTGCTCTAATGCAAAAGCTTCTCAAAGAAGAAAGATCTGCAAGTAAGTGTCCAGATTTCTCTCACACTTCAAAACAACAAAGAAAAAAGATTTCAGGAAGGAAATTTGCATAACCTATTAAATTGGATACACAAGTTTTTATTCATATGGTTTCATTCATATGTTTTTCAACATTAAAATGCAATTTTTAGTAACCCAATAAAAACACTCATCATCTCTCCCTCTCTCTGGGTAGCACAAATACTTTCCCTCATAAAATCTTCCTAAACAAAAAAGGCAGCGACATCACTAAACTATAATGGTTTTGCAAGTATAAATGAAGACTTCAAACCACAAGTGTAACGTAATTCAATAGACAGTTTCGCTTAAAAAAAAAAAATTTCTTTTTTTAAAAAGCAGCTGTTTCACATCTCAACGGCCTCACCAGTGAAAGGCTGGCAAATGCGTGTCAGACTAACAAATAAAGCTTGGGGCTCTAACACTACTTCCTAGGTAATATGAAGCTCTCAGTAATGAAGAAAAAAAAAGTCCAAGAATCTCAGAAAGCACGTATTATAGCGAATAAGCCTCAAAAATAAGAGAAGGAGAATGCACAGGTGAAACATGATTACTCTAGCTATTTCACTGTTAGCATGTTGCTGAAGTAGCTACTGTATTCATGACCACTAATTCTTTTGAATTGGTAGTGTGGGAGAGAGAGAAGAGCAAGATATTTTCTACCTCTTCTTAAAACTTATCTTGCATCTCATAAAAAGCTGCAAAATTTTAATTCTGTAGAGAAAATAAGAAGTGTTGTAACACCAGGTATAATTAGAATTTGAGAGCTTAACATCTGCATTATTTTACAAAAAGCCCTCGGTTTAGAAGAGACAGAGCACTCCCTTCTTTCACAGTCGCCATGATGAAATGAGAATCTAACAAGTTGTCTATCTTCTTCCTGATTTTTCAAACTTCTGTTTATTTTCTCAGCAGAATTCAAGAAGATACTAGAGCTTATCAAGAGAGAGAATCTTGGAGAATAGAGCTAAAAGCTCTTAAAAAAAAAATTAGGTCCAAAGCTTTCTGTTGGAATACAGTCTGGAAAACAAACAAACACACACCAATCAACCAATCTATACAATACAAACCAAACAGACCAAATTTGCTACTATAGGCTATCTCAGTATTTCAGGGATTGGTACAACAATACCCTTATGGACTTCGTATTACATCTGCCTTTGGTTTGTGATAACATAATGTTCCAAAGTCTTTCTTAATAATGGAAAAACACTTGGAATTCTAAGTCTGAATATTAAAAAACGCTATTATTTGCTATAGTAATATACACTATCATACCTTTCCACATGCGAACTGCAAGCCCTCTTGTAACATCCAGTAAAATAACCCTTCCAAAATCATCTGTTACTGCTGCCAAAGTGTTACATGGAGAAAGGCATATCCTTTCACCATGGCGACGGGAATCTGGAAGTCCAAATCTAAAACAAAAAAAGAATTAAAAAAAAAAAGAAATCAAGCAAAACCACGAGATACCTATTTTTCCTTCAGAAATAGTAAAAAAAAGTATCTTATAAGGACTAAGATTTCTTTTTTTAAGGTAGCAAAGGTATAGGTAAACTTAAGAGCAAGTTACGAAAAAAGTTCTTGTGCTGTCTACTGGGAGATCTCATAGATCTGTAAAGTCCTACTGAAAAACAAAGTTCAGAACCTAGGATAAGCAATTGCCTTGTCATGCATTGTCAAGCAAGGATCTCAGAGCAGTGGGTTACTTTGTAAGTCCTCTCTTATCGCCTAATAGCCTTGAGAATATTTAAAAAAAAAATAGGAAAAACAATCAGGAATTGATTCAGTCTTCTATCAGCTTTCTTAACAATATTAGGCTACAACCTGTTGTTCCCATTCTCCTCTCTCCACAATCAAAAGGGAAACAGGATTCCTCCTAATTTTTGTGAGAGGCTTTAAACTATGATAAGCAGCCAGCACCTCGTGTGGCTTCCTTAAAGCACTTCCGTGACAAACTTCAGGACTGATATTTGTGTACTTATATTGTTATTAAACTGTGCACACTGTTCTTTACAGTAACAACGAACCCACACACTGGAAGTGAGAGACATGAGTAATTATTTGTCCACAATGATAAACTGAAATGAAACAAAGCTTAAAACCAAAATGACCTCCAAACTATCATTGCTGCTTAAAGTAAAGAAAAATAAACATGTTCATCAACTATGCACCTTTCAAAATTATTCAAATAGTTATAAAGACGAGAGCGCCAAAGCAATTGAGACAGTATGTTAAACTTACCTCACTGCCAATGGGGTTGCAGGTTCAACTTTTGGTTTCTGTTTTTGGGGAGGTTCTTCTTCATGTTTACTCTTCCAACCAAGCCAGCCACTTACAATAGAAAGGAGATTTCTATTAGGAGAATCTAATTCTTTTAATTAGAGAGAGAATTAGGAGAATTCTCCTAACTAGGAGAACCATACTAATAGTCCTAAAAAAATCCTCAATTATGAGGCTACTACAACAACAATAATTTACTGTCATTTTTTATTACCTGGCAGCATTAAATAATGCTGAAGTCAGTTTACTTGCAACTGCTAAGGCAACATGAGACAACAGTGGCTGTGAGCTACCCTGAAAGAAAGGAATAAAGTGTTTAGAAAGTCAAGGAATAGTCAGTGTCGAGCCACCCTGAAATGAAGGAACAAAGTGTTTAGAAAGCCAAGAAATAGTTCTTACACTGAACTCAACTGCAGAATAGTTTTTCAGGCCTCCTACGGACTTTCAGCTCAGAAAGCATAGCTTTAAGACTCTGCAAAATTTTAATTCATTGCCCCCAGAAAAGCCATTCTGACATCTCTTTACCATTTCAAAATCCTCCTGCAAGTCACTGGCAGCTCAGTATGTTTGTCTGCAACAGAAGTTAAAAAAACCCTGTGTATGATTTATCACGGAGAGTTAGCTGGTGTATGGCTTCGGCATCCTTGCAAATATCAACACAAGCAGTTTTTTCATAAACATATTGGAAAAGCAAGCGCAAAACCAAAGTTCCGATTCTAGCATTTTCAAATCAACTTTCAATCCTGATAAGGACAACACACACATAAGGTCTGAATGTACAAGACACAGAGCTACATTGCCATCCTTCTCCTCCAACGCAACTGGAGACTACATAAATGTGCTACAGGTATCATTAAGCGTAAGCTGCAGTTTTCTTCCACAAGTAGTTGTTCCACTACGTGAAATCACCACAGTACACTCAGGCCATGCGCATACATGACCAAAGGCGAAAGGTCTCCAAAAATCCCTAAGATACACGTTTACACAATCTCAACATAATTTAAAAAAAAAAAACCTTAGGTTACTCAATTGGCAATAAATTAACAAATGAAAAAAATATCATCTCAGTTTCAGAAGATCAAAAGGGGAAATGTCAGTATAAAACTAACACAAGAATACTTCAGAAACACTCATACAGAAAAGAGAAGGATTAATCATTCAAAGTTTCAGCAAGTCAGCTTTGTAGTACATACCTCCAGGGCAAAAAAGAAACCAGTGAAAGGATTGGATCCCACAGTAACATACTGAGACATAGCAGGTGGGCTGTTTTTTATAGCTGCATTATATCCACCTATATTGGAGGCAGTCTTCATTTGATCAAAAGGAGACAGTGTCATGATGCCTAACAAAAACATCGAAGTGAATGTCTTACACTTTCAGAACAAAGGCATGCAATTGCTCTAGAAGTCTAAATATATTCCTGCCTTCTTGACTGACTGGCCAACATTCCAGTTGAAGGGAGGAGGAGCAGCTTTAACCACAGAAATTCCAAAGAACACAGCAGAAATAACCTAATGTACTCAGGTTAATTATAAAGCACAGTTGGTTTGTTTAGAATAATAATAATAATAAAAAAAAAATCAGCAGAGTTCAGCAGCAAACACACATCTACCAAATTCACTTCACCTGCCTCATTAGCTCCCTTCTGACCTCTTACCTGCGTCTGTGAAAAGCGTGGAAGAGAAATGAAGCTTACTGTCTCTCAGATCTGCCTGACAAGAACCTGGGCTTCAGCAAATTCCTAAGTAGTAAAAGTCTTTGACAGCCTAGAAGTCAGTTTGTCTTTTTTGGAAAGAAGCAATCTCAAATTTTAGTTTCTTTATGTGCTGGACTGTGAAAGACCCATACCAGTCTTCACTGGCCTGCCAGACAGTTCTTTAACCTAACACTAATGGGAATAACTGCACCTGATCTAGTCTCTCTTGGCTATTTCGTACCAAACAGGAGAGGACAAGACAGCTACAGCTGTAACATCCTTTCTCCCCTCAAATGGAGAGGGGAGGCTCAATCAGATGAGAAGAGAAAGTAAAACCTATTTTTGATGATGGTTAATGAGATCAGTCACTACGACAGCCTTCTCCCACTATTTATTTCTATCCAACCAGTACCACAAAGGGCTCTCACCACAAATTTAACAGCACAAAAACATTTAGTTTCATTTAAGCCAAATATTTGAAATTAAACAGAAATGCTTACCAATACTAGCATGGTCAACAATCGTGTCCACATCTTGCAAGCCCCATTTCTTATAAGCTAATGGTGGAGGCTGAACATTCTCATTGCCAGATGCTGCAGCTGACAAAAGTTGATAAAACACACAAAAAAAAAGTTCCTACTGAGTCAAAGACAAAGGAATAGCATAACAGGGGGCAAAGAACTGATGCAATAAAGAGTCGCAAAATAACCTAGTTTTAAATTAACATTCGAACACCTGCTGAGCTAAAATGGCCTTTTGAAAAACTTGACTTGATTAAATTAAAACATTTTAAAACAGTAACTAACTAAAATTGCATGTGATATTCCTTCACAACTGTATTTTGTACTTGCAGAGAGCTTTGCTTTACTAGTCATTTATGGTTTAATATTCTGTACAATTTTAAAATGCTACTACAATTTATTTCTGTGGTCTGCGCATGTTCAAGTGGAAACTCTCCTGCCAAAGTACTTGCAAAGTCAGCACATTCACTAGACATGTAACAGTGTGAGGTAAGAACAGTGGTAAGACTAAAGTGATGATTGAAACTCTTCAAAATATCTATTTTGACAAACATAAATGGTCAAGAACGAAAGAAGATACAGCACTCTGGCTGCAGATATCACAACGGTGCAAATACTTCTCTGCAAATGGCGATTTCTCATTGAAAGAGTACAGCATGCTCTGGCTGTGAAAGTAGATGGATATTTCTCATTATAGTGTCTGTTTCCTTTCACATTTGTTTATGATTCACAGAATATCAGTTTTCAAAAGTTCTGATTTACAAGAGTTTTGCCTTCTCTCATAGTCAATGGAAATGCCACCTTTCCATTAAGAGGGTAAGAACAGACATTATTAGATAGACCCAGGGAACCCCTGAGCATGGCAGATCAGGATTTGAGCAGAGCTAAAACCAGATGTCTAGGGAAGAATATTAGAACAAGGATATGTAAGTGATGCTTCCTCTAAAGCAGCTTCTGAAGAGACCTTCTCAGCTGGAGGTAAGCTCTAAGCACTCAGTAAACCTCCACAGCTTTTTTCTCCACTAATCTGTCAGTCTCCCTCTGAGCCCAAGGAAGCCTTTGGCATCCACATCAACCTCAGACAAAGAATTCCACAATTCAACCTCACAATACGTTAACACACTTCTTATTTTGAATTTACTAACATTTAGCTTCATTTCATGCCACTTCATTCTGAGCTGGAATAGTGAGCAATCCATTCCTATTGGCCATCCCCGTATGATTTAAAGAAGAGCTGTCTCACCACAGTAGCATTTCTCAGTTCTTTACCATTCAACCTATGTAAGGCTCAAGCCTTAGTTTAAGGGTGCTGCTGTCCCAACAGCTCCTAATGCTGTCATGCTGGCAGATCCATTGTGCTTCCCACCTACACCCAGCCTCAAAACTGTCTGCTGATGTGGCTTGCTGTAGAGGAAACAAGAATCTGACAAATCTGAAGTTCAACGAGAACAACCATCAGGAAATTTGGGCGAACAATTCAGCAACAGCACCTGTTTAACATTTTATCTTGCAGAACTGTAATAGCGCCATACTTGTGCAATCTACCACACAGTACCGTTATCTAGTTCTCCTCTCACCCCAAGAAACTGACCCTGTTTCCAAGTTAGAGTATAAACAGGCACTATACTAAAGGATGGGATCAAAAGCTGCACAATCAAACCAGGTATCAAAAGCTCTTTGACAACGCAAAGAGCAATGACCATCACCAACACCATCACCACAGCATTATCACTTCCCAGAAAATCCTTACTGGGAAGAAAAGCATTTCACTGACAGTGAAACCAGCATCCTGACATGCTAAGAAGCACCCTAGCAGCATGCTGTGGGTTAACCCTATTGAGCAGCTGAGCACCATATATCTGCTCGCTCACTCCCTCCTAGTGAGATGGTGAAGAGAATCAGAAGAGTAAAAGTGAGAAAACTTGTGGGTTGAGATAAAGACAGTTTAACAGTTAAAGCAAAAGCTCTGCATGCAATCACAGCAAAACACTTCACTCATTCACTACTTCCCACGAGCAGGCAGGTGTTTAGCTGTTTCCAGGAAAGCAGGGCTTTAACATGCATAATGGTTACTTGGGAAGTCAAATGCTGTAACTGAATGCTCCCCTCTTCCTCCTCCCAGCTTATATCACCAGGCACGACATCACAGGGTATGGGATATCCCTTTGGTCAGTTGGGGTCAGCTATCCAAGCTGTGTCCCCTCCCAGTTTCTGGTGAAACCCCAGCCTGCTCGCTGGTGAGGCAGTGTGAGAAACAGAAAAATCCTTGATGCTGTGTAAGCACTGTTCAGCAACAGCTAAAACTTCAGAGTGTTATCAACACTGTTTTCATCACAAATCCAAAACATAGTACCATACCAGCTACTATGAAGAAAATTAACTCTATCCCAGCCAAAACCAGCATACAGTATTATGGTGAGAACATGCAAGACGCTCAATGCTACTCAGACAATTTGTGCTTCAAGAACATTTTCTGTAGAGGAAGAAATTTCCTTGTATGCAGCAGATGCCAATACATTGATGGACAAGCAAAGAAGATCCAAATTCCACCTTGATTTGCTATTTAACAAACAGAAGTAAATTTCACGTAATGTGAAGTACTATTAACAGTCTCAGAAATAAACATTTCCTCTTAAACATACCTCTGGCTACCTGATTGCGACATGCACGAAGGGACTGAAAGAGGCTGAAACCATCAATTGTCACAATTGCTGCTGGGTACAAGATACTTAGTTCTTCATTCTGTGGAAGAAAATGAGAGAAGGGAGAAAAAAAATGGAAAAAAATTACTGTTACTGTTGTAACAGCTTCTTCTCTAGCTTTTTATAGTATTTACTACACAAAGATAAGGATTACATCCAGAGAGTTAATATCTAACAAGCCACAGGCAACAGACTACAGAAAAACTACCATAATTCAGTATTAAACAGTCTGATACATAAGTCATTTAGGCATATACTTTTTATTTAGGCACATCATTTTTATTTTCATCTTCTTTCAATGACTTGTATGTTTGCTTAATATATTTTATGGCTTAGGGAGAAAACACAGAAGTTACAGCAGCTTGTGAAGGCCACAGAAAACCAGGTTTATCTGGAATGCAAGTATCAAGGTTTTATGAGCCAAGTTCTGAAACTGGAGTAGCACCTGAATTACCACTTGGGCACATAAATGCTAATTCGGTGATACAAATTCAAGACTCAAATTCCTTAATGCTTCTGTATTTCAAAACTGATCCCAAAATGTCATTCTAAATCACATGAGCATTTGTATAAAGCAAACTTGGAAACTGCTATAACTTCATTAGTTTTCTGCATAAAGCATGCCAACCCAGCCAAGAGCAAAGAAAGCTGGCTTTTCTACTAAATAGCCTCAGCTCTGCAAGAGCCTCCTCTCCAGGAAATACTCATAGTGACATGCAAGTTCCTAGCACTATGTCCTATAAAGATTGTTTTAATTTTCAGCCATCTTCTCTGTGAAATAATTAAGATAAGTTCTTATGAATGAGTACATATAGCTCTTGGCACCTGTCAAGTTGCATTTTCTCCTTTCATCAACACATTATCCTATTTTGTGTGCATAAATGAACAAACAGGAAACGAACGAAGCCTTCCTTTGCAAGGTTATCACAGAGAAAAACTGACAAATCTAAACAGTTAGCTAAATACTCCAAAAAATAAAAAGAAATTCTGAATCCTCAAACTATACAGGCATGAATACTTCTAGAACAAGAATTCCAGAGCCTCTTGTTCTAAGGAACTGTCCATCCCATCAAAAACTGGTAAAGGACACAGAGGATTCACAGAGAAGACTCCCTTCCATACCCCATAACACTGCCACTTCGCTTTTGAAATAATCTGACAAAACCTGTTCTGTGACACCAGGATGCCTGGGAATTTCGTAGGTTCTGCACTTAAGTTGCAGGACAGGATCTTCATTTAAAAGTTGTGCAAGAAGCAGTACTCCACTCTAGAAGAGAAAGAATAAGAAGCATGAACACTTCTGTCCCTTTCCTCAGGGAAGGCAAAAGGCTATCTGCAGAAACAGAAGTTTTCTAGAAATAGATGTCTATTACAATAGTGGGCTCGCGGTCCTGCCGTGCTGAGAAACATACCTCGGTGTAAAAACGAACATAGCCAGAGGTGAAGCCAACCACAATGCAGGTCCAGTCAGGACGGCCTGTGGAACTCCTGTTTCACAAAGACATACTAGAAGTTAAAAACAACTGCTGCTCTAAGCTGTAGACATATATAAGTATAATGCAAGGAGACTGATGATGCATATGCACAAGAATATCAATCCTTACCTCTTCTGACTTGCCAATGGGATACACAATACACTACTCACACATTCACTAGAAACAGAAAGATAAAACTAGTAAGTATATTTTTCTCCAGTTGTGAAATTTTGCTCTACACAACAGACTTTGCCAAGTCAGCATTTTTAATATTTTAAGAATATAGTAATGCAGCACACAATATATCAAATTCACACTAAAGAGTGTAAAAAACCCTTTCATTTTAAAGACATTTTCAATTACAAGGTCAAGAGTGCCTGAATAGATTGCATGAATGCTTGTTACACCTTGCTAATGTTGTCTTTCATCATTCACAGCCTGATTGTTCTGCCAGCATTCTTCAGTAAAGATTCAAGTTAAATTTCAGGTACCTAAAGGTGAGCAATTTTTTTTCTGATCGATAATGATATGCCAAGAACAACCACTTAAAAAAAAACCCCAAACAACAAAACAACTGAACCATACTTATCAAAATAAATTTTTGAAGTACTTTACGCAATTAGGTAGATTTTATATCCATTGCATTTCACTGCTTTATAATTTGAGAGCATTTGAAGGGCTAATATGGTCTTCCCAGACATTGCAACAACTGAGCAGGCTCAACGCACAGCAGGCAAAGCATGCAGAAGGCAAGAAGATGAGCAGGCCTCAGTATCTCAAATCAAAAGTTATTTAACCGCTACCATGATAGAAAGTTTTATAAGTTTTACACTGTCTGGGAAAACAGAAGCAGCACAAAGGTTTTATGAAAGAGCATATAAATTCAAGATGACATCCAAAACAGCACTTAAAGCATAAATGCCCACAGTACTGATGATTATTTGCATTTCAGGTCACCTCCACTCCCCAAGGAGTGATTAAACAATCAGGCTAATGAATTACAGAAAAAAGGTTTCCAAACGCAAGTTTGACATGAGTTGCAATTCGATTACAACTTCAAAGCAATGTTAAATATCTCGGTGAAATTTCATCTTCCAATAGCAAAGCTTAGCCACCACAGAATGTTTTCAGTTGAAGGCAACTGGGGGGGGGGGGAAAAGGCCGAACTCCAAAACCCCCCAAAAGTCAAGTCTTTTGACAATCTGACAGTAATTTCTGTATTTACACTTCCACAGAAATAGAACCCACACCTACAGCAAACACTTGCAAATCTTAAATCAAGATATAGTGAATATAGTTGTGCCTATCTGAAGAAAGCTACCTGTTCTGTATGATAGGGCCTCTTGGGGCTGTAACAGTAGTAAGAAAAACCCCCAAACAAAACTTCTTTTCCTTTTTTTTTTAATAAAAGATGACAGGGTAATTTCGGGGGGAGGGGGGGGAGATGCACATAAAACAGTTCAAATGTGTGGCAGAAGCAGTTTTACAAAAAATGGTTATGATTTTTACAGATTGGAGAGAGGCTGATTAAGTCAACACCTCCTGCAGCATAACAGAAGGCTGAAGCCAATAGAGAGCATGTTCAAAGGCAGACAGCAACTCAAGGCTGCAAACTTAATAATGAAATGCAAAATCCTTTTCCATATGGGAGACTCAAGAAAGCATCTGTCTGGTTATTTGAAGACAGATCGAGCAGAAATATTGTATAAATACCAAATGTATGACCAAAGCAAATTTTCCAAGTCTCTAACTGACTTAGAGCCCAAAAACCATTTCTTCATCAGAGAGATGACTTTATATTTCCTTGAGGTTTTGAAAATGAATATATTTCTAAAACAATTTCATACATTTCCAGTTGCAACACCCCCTAACAAAATTTCACCTCTACTACAAAAGTAATTTTCCAAAAAGGGTACTTATTTTTTTCCCTTCTAGAACAGGAACTTATAAAAAGCATGATAACCCAGATCTCTTTATTAAAATGTCTGAATTACATGCAGATACACTGGTTTTCACAGAGAGTACCTCCGTTAATTTGTATGAACTTGTCCTGAGATATCACACTATGCATGAAGAGTGACCTTTGCAGACAACGTTTCTGATCATCCACGTTACTCCATTTCTGTTTGCAACATGAAAATGCATAAGACCATGACTCCACTCGAATGAAACAAACAAAAAAAAGAGTACAAGTAAAAAGCTTATGCTAATTATTAAACATGAAAATGATATTCTAATCACAGGTGCATTTCAACACGTACCCTTCTTCAACATTCAGAGAGCCACTCCAGCCAACAGCATACTGCATTTCCTCTTTTCCCTTGTCACTGTGCTTCCATTTAGCTGCCATTAAGAATAAAGAAACCATCTATAACTGCAATGTTCTGCATCTCACAAAAGCAGTTCTACTCCTAATCCTTCTCTTCTGTACAATCCTGCCACACTTAGATTAAGTACCAATTACCAACCTTGAAGACCATAAAAATAATAAAATGTTTTTAATGACTCTTCTAAAGAACTTGCATGTTTTCTTAGAAATTTACATGGAACAACACACTACTAAAATTATGAAATGCCTAATTTTATTTTAAAATATTTATACAGTACTATCTACTTCATCAAATTTTAAATGGTTCAATTCAAGAAACAGGGATCCTTAGGAGAAAAGTACTAAGCAAGGGCAAGCTTCTTTTGGGAAGATTACTCAAGATGAGCTCAAACAAATAGGAAATTTTAATTTTAACCACCTAGAAGGACATGGGAATCCTGCAATAAATGTGACAATTTTTAATCTTCACATCATAATCAAGGTTAGAAAACTAGTACTATACTTTGTTATTTACACGGTGCTATTACAGCTGATACTTGACTGTTGAATCATCTCCCAGGTGCCAACAGACAACTAAAAAAGTTAGTGTTGTGCACCATTTGTCTGACACCTAAAATCTGAGACACAGAGACACTTCTGCCACTGTGTGGTACAGTTGGCCACTGTGCAGTTCAGCAGAAGCAGTTCTCCAGCAAGTGAGCTAAATTACTTCCTTATTCTTGATCCAGTACGGGCTTTCTGAGGAGTACTGCCATCTTTTAATTTTTGTGAAAAATCAGCAACTAATCTACATCGGTTTTGGAACTTTGCAGGGAACGACAAATGTTCCCTTCCAAATGCAGCATGACGACTCAATGCAATCTGCCTAATTACGCAACTCTGAGCTTCAACAGCCTGTTTTTATTTTAAAATGGTATAATACTCCCCATATCAGAAGGTTTCGATTCATCATCTCACGTGCCACCAACTACAGCTGTTAATAGCACCAGTACCCCAGGCAACAGCACATCCATAAAGAGCAGCTGGCCGATCAGTGTTCATATGTTATCAAGGATATCTTTTCAAGTTCGAGAGCCCTACTTTAGAGTACAATATAAAGCCACCCATCCTTCACGATGGAGAAGAATTTTCTCTCAAAGGTGGGAATCTCAAAACCAATCCACCTCAATACTTCCTCCTCCAAGTGACACAGGCTCAGTTAGCTCACATCTTTCCAGGGAAAAGAAAAATAAGGTCAAGTATTTCTTAATGGCTAAAATTAATACAAAAGTTTTGCTTCTCTTATTGAGCACAATTAATGTCAATATCTCTGAGCATCTCAAACAACTGGGTAGTTAATAGTATATATTAATCATACATGATAAAATAGTTTTCTCAGATCAACATATAGCTGAGAAGTAAAGACAAAACAACTCACTTGCCAAGCAATACCTAGAAAATGCACAATGTGTACTATAAAACACTCCAAAATTCTTGAAGGTATGACTTAGGGGGTAAGCTGATGGAGGCGGGGAGGAAACAAATCTTGTCCTGATTAAGTGTACTAGCATATATACCTAGTAGAATGTATACTTACGCACTAAGAAGACTGCTTTCTGTTCATTAGCTATTACCATCAGGTCATTTGTTGGTGACAAGGACAATACACAGTCCTGAAGCCAGTAATTTCTCTGGTTCTTGGAATTAGATTCCTCTTCTTCCTACAGGCAACGCTTTAGTCAATGTATGCAACAAATTTTAAACATAGCGGAACTCGCAAGATTCATGACTACAATTTGGCTTGCCCTCACTACCAGCGCTGAATGGACTAACACTTGTCAAGTCACTAGAGCTCCAACTTGCATGAAAACCCATGAGAAATGCATCAACCTTGCACTAATTCTGTGTGTTTACAAAATAGAAAACAAAGAAGTATTCATCGCTAACTCTACTCCTCAAAATCTTCTCCTTTCACCAAAGAGGCTCTAGAAAAATGAGATTTAAACTTTTATTATTATTGTTTAGAGACTGGAAAGAATCTCTTTAGTTATTCCCATTACAATCCATACTCAAAATAAAGAATTTATCCAAGCTCATACACTGAGCAGCATTAAGTAAATATATGTACATATGAAGAAAGGAACTAAGCTGGCATTCACACTAAAGCCTCACGGCAACATGCAACAGGTATCACGTGCCTTTCCACAACAAGGAACTTTACAAACAAATTCAAACTAAGAAGTGCCAAGTTTTAACGGTTTAATGATGGGTAAGTAAAGACTTAGATACCATCTTCACTTATAAAAGCAAAAAGATTGCATCTCTCTTCCTCGGAGCAACAAGCCAAACATTTGATTGCAGAACAAACAAGGTAGCTCCTGCCAATCATAGTTCAAAGGCAGAAAGTAGGTAATAGGTTTTGAATGGACTGCTACAAGGTCTCTCAAAGATGATCCTCCTGCTTTCTTAGCTCCATCCTCTTACGCTGATCCACAGCAATACAAACACCTTCCCTTGTCCTCAGTCTCCATGTCCATAGCCAGATATCCAATCCTATCTCCTCCTAACTCTCCAAAATATTACTCCATCCTCTAATATCTCAAAGCAGATATCCACAGATTAAAAAACCCTAACAATTTCAGCGTGACCATCTTCTGAACCATGCGATTTATTCTGTTGTAACTAAGTCGCATCTACTTGAAAATATACACATTTACTCCCAGCAGAAAAAAAAAGTGAAGAATTTGCATATCATACTCTTAATCACCTATTCATTGTATTTACTTCCTTTCATAATGTTTGTACCATAAAAATGGTGACTTTGTGCACGTAAGAATACCCTGTATATCCATCATAAGATCTATATTAGCATACTACAAACGTTCTGCTAACTACCTTTGTCCACACTATCTCTTGATTTGTGCAAGAGGACAACCTATTTTCAAGTCATTTTTATGTGTTGATGGATGTCAAGTTCTACAGCAACAATTTTTCCCTAATTACTGTTGTTTTTCAAGACTTTAAAAATAGGTGATGAAGTTGTCTGGAATACTCATAACAACTTTAACTCCTCATGACAGAGATAAATGTACCATGTGCAAAAACACATAACCAAAACCCAAAGAAGTCTCGTACTAATTTTTAATGCAATGATTTGCAAACTGAGGAAAAAGAAACAGAAATTAAAGGCTTGTTTAAAGATTAAAAGGAATTAAAAACGGTATCTCAGGCAGAGAATTTAAATAAAATTATGTATAAACAAAGAACTGGAAACCTAAAGACATAAAGTATGGCCATCTTACATTAGTGATAAAAATATAAATATATTTAGTGACAAAAATACATATCTAATATAATATATTTTGTCACCAAATATAAATAATATAAAACAGGAAAAGCACTGAACTTGTCAAAGGAAACTACTTTAAAAGGGTGAAAGACAGAATGAGTAAAATCAGCGTTTAAGAAAAGATTTCAACATCATCATCCCTACAAAACAGCTGATAAGTTCCATAAAAAGGCACCTTACGGAAGAGAACAAAACTTTTATAAATTTTTTAATTATTTTTTTCATTTTCAATGTCTTCTCAAAAGTTGCTGTGTTCCATGAAATAGGTACGTGCCCAGGTGACTTGAGTAATTCCAAGAAAAGATGCATTTTACACCAAGTATAATGCAAACCAACCAACAGTTAAAAGTTTTAACACGGGAATTCATGGCTATATTATACTAATAATTCTCAACCCTGTGCTAGACTGATACAATCATTTTGGTGTGTGTTCAGACATACAGACTCACATATTTATATGCTCCCGCACAGAACAACCTGTTTGCTGTGGATGACAGCTTTTTCTTTCTGAAGGGTTTGACCTGGAACCACTAGCAACTTTGGAGGAAAACACATAAGCAGAGGAGAAGGCGGTCTTTCGCAAGAAAGGTGTGAACTACCTGGAAGAGTTTGCCATTTTAAAGAAAAGAGTGAAAAATAAGACAATTTCAATTTAGCAACACCTGTTTGTTCTATCATATTACAACATGAGCAGAAAACAAAGCATTTGTTCTCCTCATTAAGGAAGCTATAAACATTACAGATGTGGCCTGAGAAACACACTCATTTCATGGCAATTATAGTGGAGCTGAATACTCATCCTATTTAAAAGTTTTAATACTCTTGTCATTCCCTGACATCAGTATCAGTGATTCATCCCTGGGAGACACCACGCTCATTTCAGCTTGTTTGTCGCTTTAGCTGAAAAATCTGTTTCCCTGCTGAAGTAAGCAGCTACAAGGATATTGCCCAACTCCTTGGTCATACCTCCCACATACTGATAAAGACAGCAGGTAAGAGGGTGTTGTTAGCAAGGTGAGGTCTGGATTCCTCAGTCTACCCCATTAGCTCTCTCCAATTAATCTCAGGAATTAATCAAGTAAGCAATTCTGTTCAAATAATTCATTCAGGTGCAAAGGATTTCTACACAGACACCTTCCCTAACACCTTATGCAAGTCAGCTGGTAGCTATAATTCTCAACCTTTCCAACAACTAATAGACTAGTCACATTATTCTTAGTTGAACTAGTTGGGTAGAGGGATATTTTACCCCCTTTAAAGAGCAACTGTGCTGCCCCATCCTACATATTTGACTTGATCCCTCCTGTAATTCCATCTGCACATCACAACATGAAAGGAGTAGTACGTAATCATTAGAAAGATGGTTGTGTCAGTTGTTCATGATTTAGGAGGTTTTTATTTATATTAATTCATGGTAGATTACTATAACTCCCTTGCCATGCCCTACTGTCTCTGGCTAGCTAGAGGACAAAAAATATGCCCGCAGCTGCAGAAGGACAGAAAGATGTGTGTATACTCTAGTGGAAAAAACCCTACAGAATACAAGAATATGAGTAATTATCACCATAGGTAACACCCAAGCTATATTTAGAAACAACGACAGGAGCTAGGACAAATAAGCAGTCACATTTAAAACACTGGTCAAGATCATTCTGACCCAGGGGTAACCATATAGGAGGAAACAAAAACCACCACCACACACAAGCAAGTGGAAAAGTCTTTTAGAATAAGCAAGTTAGCAATGAAAACTCTACATATGAACTTACAGGTTCTTGTAATTCTCCTTCATCCCAGGCTCCCCAGCCACCATCTTCCCAGCTTGTTGATTTGCCTGCTTTAAGCGAAAAAAAAAAAATTTCACATGAGTACAGCACAGGCAATGAAAAACACAACAAAAAGGATGGCTGGTGGTTGTTTTCGTTCCCCTACCAATGCATTATAACTTTGTTTATGGCAGATACTAAACAAGCTCTACAGAAAGAACCATAAAGTAGTAGAAATGGCTGTCTTATTTCTCTCTATTTACTTCCATTTTTGCCACTATGGAGAAGTAGTAACAAAAGATGTAACCTAAGTCCAAACTGGAAACAGGTACAAGGATACCTGTGTCAAATTAATTCTGACAGACTGCACCTAGAACTCTGGGTAACATCTTACAGTGCCTGGTACAACACATCACTGATCCTTCCACAGGGCCTCTCCACACTTTAATAGAGCAAATTATTCAGTCAAATTTGTCTTTTTTCAGTTGCTCACAGACATTTCAAGAGAGCTAAGACATATTTCTAGATTTATACAGCAAGCTGAAGCAAAGAGTAAGGGCATAACAGGAGAAACCCTATGCATCCACTCGACAAAAACTTTCTCCAGCGTGTACAGAGACCTGAGACCTCACTGCAAAATTTAAGCTTTAGCTGGATTTATCTATTTATTACTACTCCAAAGGCAACAAAAGCCCCATCTCAAACATACTAAGCAGCTACAGAGGGAGAGTAAGGAGACAGCAGGCTCTCTCCAACCCTTTCATCTCAAACATACTAAGCAGCTACAAGAGGGAAAGTAAGGAGACAGCAGGCTCTCTCCAACCCTTCAGGACTATGTATATCGATGTTTTACTAACTGGAATAAGAAGACCTATAACACACCGTAAGAACCACGTATGCACAATTTTATGAGAAACAGTATTTCTATACATGAGTAAAATATCTTCCTTTCCATAATGGTGGATTTTGGTTTTAACTTAATTGCAGGATCAGCCAATAGCAACGTAAGTTCATTTTAACAGGGAATGAGAGTACATGGAAATTCTTCTGTGGCAACGAAACATCTGAGCCCAGGATAACGCAGATCCCACCACCACTCTCAAAGCAGCCAAAGCAAAAGCTGAAGCTGTGGCCTCTGAGGAGAAAATGAGCACAAGGACCTTGGCTATTCATGTCTTTGCAAGACAACACAAAGGAAAATTAATGAGACACTGAGGAGTTTCAATTGTGTCATTCAGAAACGTCAGAGAAACCACAAGCTTAAAAAATACCTCAAACACCTGAGAAAACAGAGACTCATAGAGACAGGCCTACTTCTCAGATGTCTTATAAGAGCGAATGTATTAATCTTAAATAAAAAACATCTGAAATTCTTTCATCTAAAAATACAGAATTTGATGTGAATTTAAAAGCCTGTGCAAAGGGTAATTATGCACAGGCATTTAGCAGTAGAAGAGGTACAATTCTCAAACACCATCATCACTAGGACCCTCAATAAGTCAACAGGCATCCCTGTAGTTCGGTAGAAAAGCCAAGCACTGACTTCCATCTAGAAGCACTAGCATGACATCTGAAGCATTAACATCAACAAAACTTCTCCAAGGATTTATTTCAAGTTTTTCATTAACTGATGTCATGGCTACTTTGACCTTAAGGAGAAGTTTAAATGTCACATATCAAATTAGTTTAAATTTAGTTCTAAGCAAGGAAGATTTTGCCATTTTGGATGCTCAAGCAGTACGGACAAGAAGGTTTGCATCAAGAACACTCCAGTTTTATTTGGTCTGTGCGACTCTACCACCAAAGGCAGGCAGAATCCACTACAACTGGAACTGACAGAATTGTCAGAAATCTGTATTCTGTCTGTTTAGGCAAATTTTTGAATTTTCGTATGGCTAGTGAAGACAAAAATCTTTTAAAAAAAAAATTTTAGCTTAAGAAAGAAACTTTCCACCAATGCTGTTGAGAAGGTATTTCATAAGACTGTAGAAAACAAAATGCCCAATCCATGAATAACTTTCATTAAAATGGAAATGTCTGTACCATCTACAAAATAAGCAAGTCAGCCAGATTTACTGCCTCATCATCACTGCAGATCTGACTGCAAAGTTATTTCAGGCATAACTATATCAGCAACAAGCTTCCAAGGGTCACAGTCTCATCTTGTATTTGAGGTTGAGAGTTTTCCAGTGTACAAATATATATATATATATATGAGATTAATGGCAAATACCGCTGAATATAAACTACAATAAACCACAAGAAGAAAACAGTAACTAACTTCAATGTTTAGTTTAAGGTAGCTACTTCTGTTACATTTACATTCTGTTTGCATTTTATTATCTCAAAAGGCAAGCCTCCTTCCTATAAAATTAATGGATGAAAGAAATCTGTCAGCGTGCCACAGTCCACACAGAAATATAACCATATCCAAGAAACACAGTCGGGCCAACACCTTCCCTACAGCACAGAGCAGACCAATCTTTACAAGAACCCTCAGCCACTTCAATTCCAAGACTGAACATCCAACATAAAACTTCAGCTCATAAAGGAGGTGCTAAAGCAGCAAAAAACCTCAGGTGTAAAGATAATTTGGACAAAGTACTCTGATACCACTAGGTCACGTCTGTTGCGAGCATGTCGCTTAGTCCTGCCCGTATCTCTAGAACGTATTAACAATTACAGATGTAACACAATTCCAGTAGAGTGCGTATTTGTGTATTTTATGTGAAAACTGAAAGAAAGGAACGTTGAATGTATATAATGCAATCTGGGAGAGGGAGGATCTGATTAAAGAGGCAATACAAAAGAGCTTGTCAGAAGAATCTTCAATAGGAATACACCAAATTCAATAAGTGGGATAAAGAAACAGTTAAGAACAATCCTACTGCTGAATGCAATCTAGAATTTGATTTTGTAATGTATTTTTTTTCTTTGTAACCTTGTTTGCAACTCTGAAATAAAAAGCCTGGCCTTCTGTATTTCTGAATTCAATTAGTTGATCCAGATAAAGCCAAGTGTGCAAGCACAATTCCAAAGATGTTTAGAGGAACTGGACTGAAGAGCACTTTTCAGGATGTTGTCAGTGTAGCAGGGCTGGATTTTGAAGAAGAGTTTCTCTGCAGGCTTAAGCCATCATTCCTACCGGAAAAAGAAGCAGTGAAGTGATACCTCATAGCTTTGAGCAACCCTCCAAATCAGGCTAATTTTTTTCTTCCCCCTGAACAAGCAGCAGCATCTGAAAGCTGCGTGCTGTGCCACATCCCACTCTGAAATGACTGGCTCACTATCACAGATGCAGGTATCATTGCTTGGGAACTCCCAAAGGCAAGTTTGGGTTTGGGTTTTCTTCTTATTAATTTCATTTAGGTAATGGGACACAAATACACTCAGGAACTAAACATATCTGCACACCAGGAAAGTACTGGGTTTTTTATTTCATCTTAACACCCCCAGAGTTTAGCTAGCAGTAGCCCCACCTGGCTATGTCACTGAATTGCTGTCATCAAGCCTACCCAATGTTTGAAAACGCACAGTTCAAGCTCAGAGTCTACTGGAAGAAGAGACACATCACTTTAAACAAATTGTAGTTAAATCCCTCAAATTTTAAAGATTATAGAAAATGTTATGTGTCTTTACTGCTCAATTTTCTGCTCTTTTCAGGTAGGTATCTGTTAATTTATTAATGCTAAAATTGTTATGCCTGTGAAGCTTTACCACATTTTGCAAATAAGATGGATTTTTTTGTTCATGTGTACACCTTACCATAGATAGTTGTGTAATGGAGTTAACCGTTACAGCTGTTTTCTGATCTAGCCACCACACATCCCAAAATACCTTCAATGCAGCAAGCTGTCAAATAAAGTGTAAGGCAAATACTTTCTACTCCCAGTATTTGCAAATTTGAAACAACAGTTTTCAAAGCCACTTAGACACACCACTGGGCTCTGGCTCCACAGAGGATTTGTGTCTCATTATTAGCATTAACTTTTCCCAAGAATCTTAAATGCTCATGCTTTATTAGTCCCGTTCATTAAACTACGAAAAAGCAGCCAAAACCTTTTTTTTCTAGAGAATAAAGGTCTGGGAACTCCATATGAAGCATCTTTAACCAGCTTACTCCATAATACCATTTTTATTTATTCAAGCCACGTGAGGCAAGAGCCACCCCAACACCTTTTATTCCAATACGTACAACAAAAAAGTAGCTATATTTTCCTTCAAGGCAGATCACCTCAAACATTTCTTCAGTTATTCAGCCTTGTATTATTAGCAATCTTAACATATGACTGCACAACGCAAGCGAGAACAGCATGACCCCTTCCTTCCAGTGTTTCATGCCCTGGCAGCAAACAGGCACCTGCAGAACTGCCTATACAGAAGGTTCAAAGGAAGAGGACACCTTTTCTTTTCCTCCCCAGTTTACCAGACAAGTATATCCTTTGCACAAACTCGACACACTGTTGGGCTACAGAAAAGGATTTAAGTGAAGTTGTAGCTGACAGGATCCTTTCCATCATCTTCTTCTACTGTTGAACGTGTTTAAATGCTTATCTATACAAAGGAAGGGAACAAAAAAAAAAAGTCAAGTTCTTTTAGAATAAAAACACAGATTCTTTTTGTCTGTTACCTGCATCTGTATTTTTAGTATGTGTAACACTTATAAACCTTTTCAAATTAAATTCAAAACAGACAACCTAGATTAACTTCTTATAAATAAATGAAACATGCTGTGTCAAATACAAATAGGTGAGAAGGTACATCATTTTTATTCATACTAAAGACACCTAACTTCAAACTTTTATTAAAGTCACAGTACCACATAGTGATTTAGAAATGTATACTGCTTGCATTTTCAGAAGCAAGCAAATTCTTTTCATTTAAAATGTGTCTACAAAAATGCTTTTACATTAACCACCTAGATTTCAGTGTAGCAAATACACTCAGAGAAAATATTTTAGTTAGTTTGGTTAGAATGAGAAAACGGACAAAGCTAAAACAGCAGAAAAAATTTCTTCGATCTACAACTAAGAAACCAAAAAAAGGGAAGACCTAAAGCTTCTAGCAAAAACCCTAAACCCCACACATTGAAAATCCTGGAGGCATCTTTTCAAAAACATTTCATATCCAAAGTCTGACAGAAGCTTTTGAAAATTCCACTAAGCACCTAAAACATTATGTTATGGCTCAAAAAAAAAGTAATCTATTTGTTAATTGAAATACTCTTTGTTAAACAAAAATATTTAGCAAACACTTATTTTCCTAAGGTAAACTGCATTTTCCATTTAACTATAAAGTTTAAATACTAGAGAAAGAGTTTCCATACAAGTACAGCATAACTTCAAAAAAAACACACACACACAGGAAAAAACCCAGTAACTAAAAGGTGCTGGTTCTCCAGTTTAAAATAAAAAAACTCTCATAACTGTGACATGTGTTTATTAATATTTATGTAATCGCTTATATGTGAATAAACATAGCTTTAGTACAAAAGCTGTATTTGATAGCAAATTAACATATTTTCTTTGTTGAACTTATCAGTAAAACCAAACTACTCTTTAGCTTTTTTCCCCAAAGAGTAAAAATATAAAAGCAGATTAAAATCCAAATTTTTAAATGTACAACTTCATTAAACTACTGTTTTAAAACAGTCCATTCTGCCAATGGAAATTTTTACTAAAGCATTCCCTGACAAAAAAAAAAAATTCTTTATATCTTGCTTAGTTAAAAATATTTGCCTTGGCTCTTTATGCCATAAAAGTACACTCTAAAAAAAAGTACACTTTAAAAAAAAAAAAACACAACCAAACAACAAAAACTTGCTTGGACCAAATTTATTTTCTTTTCCTGGGGCACAATATTAGAAGCAGAGATCTGGTTTAGATTCTCACACTGTCTCACCTATACTTTATTTACAGCAAAGAGTTCTTCCATGTGAACAACGTAAAAGTCAAGGCACACAACAATCACCCAAGAGAAAAGGGAGTCATTTTGGATGGCCATCAAGTCAGCTGCTTACTAAGAAAAATGAATGAAATAGTGTAGTGGGGGGGGGAAATACAAAGGAAAAGAGAATGAAAAGCTGAATTAAGTTTTTCCAACCAGGGCAATACCTGCGGGTGCAAGCCTGAGAGACGAGCAGTTACCGGGGGTCTCTACCATCTCATCTCAGCCTCAGTTTCCAAACCACCCTGCAGCTTGGCTGTGCGGTCAGTTAGGCCACAAAGCAGCAGCAAAGCAGACTTGGAGGAAAAAGCCTAAGGAGAAAAGTATCTCCTGTTCCACGCAGCTGGACTCAGTTTTTTCTAACTTGGGACACCTCCCCAATTTACTTATTTCTAACTTAAGATACCCTGCAAGTTGTAACAGTGTTTCTCCCTGACAAAGGTGAATGCACTAAGGATTTCTGCTTCAAAATGATTAATTTATAATCTTATGGAAGTCACTTTGGGAACTCTCACTTGCTTACATTTATGCTCATTTATCCCAAACCATGAAACAGCTGTGGTACCAAAAAGTTACAGGCACAAATCCAAAAGATTTCAAAGAATCTAAACGAACAATATTTTGAAAAATACTCTATTCTGACACTCTGCCTCAATGAGTGAATGAGCAAATACAAAAACAGCCCAGAATACAGCCAACTCAC